AAAGGACTCGACACTTTGTGGGACACACAACTATCAAATAAAATCAAAACACGCCAGAGAGTTCACGTGACTGTTATTTCCTTTAATAATGCAAAGGTGTAAACCTCAGAAAGGCCTGGCTGATTATCTGCACAACAACGTTAGCATTCTTATTAGTAGACAAACGTGATCCAAACCAGCCGTATAGATTTTCCCAAAGTGAGCAGAGACCCTGTGGGCCTGGAGGCTGGGTGTGGGGATGCAGGGAGCGAGGGGGGCGCCGCTCCTGCAGGGCTCTCCGGGGCACTGTCTTAGGGATTCTTGGTAGGGCTGGGCCATAGCCATGACCGACCCAGAATTCAGTGTCCATTGGGAGGGGTGCGTCCTCACGCTGTCTCCCAAGGGGCATCTCATTACAAACCGCGTCCTGTCTGAACGCGGCCACTGCAGTGACGCCAAAGCTGCATCAGCGGAGGTCTGCCTGGCGGGGGTGGGGGGTGGGTGTCTGAGGGGACAGGGCTGGGTCAGGCTCCCCTTCCTTTGGGCTAGCTCTCCAAAGAGTCCCTTCAGAAACACTGACACTGTCCCTCCCGTGCGGGTGGGACTGGGACCTGGGACCCTGAGGAGGGTGCTCCTGAATGACTTCTGCCCAAGGTGACATCAAGGGTGTGCCGGGGTCTGGAGGACAGTGACGGCTCTCCTGCACCAGGACTGAGCTCACGCCCCTGGCCCTCCCTGCAGCTCTTGCTAACTGACCTGGGATTCCCACCCCAGGCCCAGAGGCACCACCTGCCTCTCCTCAGTGCTCTGCCTTGTGCCTAAGAACCACACTGCTCCTGCTGCATGGGGTGAGGCGGCCAGGAGCCCCCGAGGGAGAGGACTGAATTGTGGCTGGAGGCAGCGAGGGCAGGAGGCAGCGGGGGCAGGAGGCAGCTGGGGCAGGAGGCACTATCCTGCCTGAGCTGTTAGTAGCATTTGGTCTCTGGTGTCTGCACTTGAGCCTCTAAACTGTGAGCACTAGGGATGGGCAGCTCTACCCCCAAAACCATGGGATCACTTAGATTCCCAAAGGGGAAATCACACAGAACTAAAAATTAAAGAGACCAAAAAGAACAAAAGTCAGATTTCTGTGGAGATGCTCAGAGAGGAGACATGTGGAATGATATGTGACCACAATGGAGGGAGGGAGTTTTTATTCAGTAGAAATTCCATCCCAAATATGCACTGATGTCACTAAGCAGGACTCACCTTGAGTCCCTGTGTGGGACTTTCACATACACCCCTACTTCCTCTCCTGGCCACGTGGGGGAGGCATACTCCCCAACAGCAGGGAGGAGCAGCTGGCTTTCACCAGCTTTAAAAATGTCACCAGGGCCACTGACCAATAGGGGCTTGGTGCATTCGGGAAGTATGACAGATTGACAGACCGAGCCCCAATTTATCAACAGTCCAGGCTGGGCAGCCTGGGAGTGGCCTGTGTCCTCCCTGCCGCCCTGTGTGCATGTATGGGCAGAGTGCAAGGCTCATGCCTGGCTCACAGTGGATGCTTCCAATCTGGGAGGCTGACTTATCGATAACGTGGCTCACTTTGAACCACACCCCCCAAGACATGAGGCTCTGTGCTGACCTGCAGCTGAGCAGCAGGTGTCCGCCCTCCTGGGAGACACGTGTCTCACTAAGCTGACACGTGTTGGGCACATTAACAGGTGGCCTTGCTCACAGAGCCATCATAGAACCAGGGAAACACTATAAGCAGGACAAGCATGATGGGGGCCAGACCTAGACCATGGGGAGATCAGAACATGTTGCTACCATATTTGAGCATGGCAGAGAGGGTATGGGGCCCCTCTGACAGGCTGCAGGACCAAAGCGCTTCCTGGAATGTTTGATCAACCCCAGTAAATACTCAACAAATCCAATTCTTCTGCTGCACGGTCAACAGGGTGACTTAATTTGCCATCATGTCATCAAAATGCTCAGGTGAATCACAGTGGTCCGGCTGCCTTATAGGGCACTGAAATGCAAGCAAAGACAACTAGTATTGAGGGGCAGAGGAGGGGTTAGAATGGGGGCATGTGGGGTTTTTAACAAGCTGATGCAAGCTTTGGGGGTACTCAGAAGTCTTCCTCTGCTACATTATTTTCAGGTAAGGACAAAAAATGCAGCAAGTAGCAGATGCGCAGCAATGTCGCTGTAAACCTAGCATGACGCCTTTTAAATACTGCGTAAAGAAAAGAGCTCCCAAGCGTATTGTACTGCCACTAAGAGGGGAGACCTCCTTATGAAGTGGCACAAAAATATACGGAAATGATGAAACGTCTGGAGGTCCAGCTTTCTCCAGTTGCAAACCTTCCTCTTCCACAGAGTGCGTGGGGCCGTGGCCATTCTTCCAAAGGGGGCACTGATCATTCTCATAGGAACTGGGCTTTTAAGCAAATTTAACTTTTCTGTGTGTTCTTAAGTTCCTAACAGAGCAAAAGAAGAGTCACTGCAGAGAAAAGCAAGGAGGCAAAGGTGTAGGACGCAGAGCAGCCTCCCAGGGTCGCTGCGTGCCCGGCCATGGGTCCCCAGAGAGAATGAGGTTGTTTAAAAACAAAGGTGGCAGTGGGGGTGTCCCAGTGATGTCCAAGGTGATATGTGTGACGACAGACACAGGAAGGGGAAGGGGAGGAGAAAAGAGAAGGTAGAGACAGAAACAGAGGAAAAAAAATAGATAAAAAGAAAAAAATTAGGTCAAATATAGAAAACACAAGAATCAAAGGTTAATTCAACTTTAGTAAATTAAATGTCGGAGGTTAGAGAAGAGTCCAGTGCGGTTCGTTACCACCAGGCCAGCTCCCAAGCTCAGCAGGGCCAGAAGCAGCACAGCAGGGTGAGCTCGGGGTTAGGGGTCAGCGAGCGCATGAAATTAAAGTGAGAGAACAGAAGCCTCCAGTACGACACAGGTTTTGATTAGGAGAGTGTTACCTTTGACTAAGGTGAGGTCTCTTAGCTACAGCCAATGAGCCTACCCATGGCCTTCCTGCCACTAGAGCTTTGCACACATAGTGGGAGAGATGCGTTTGATCACTGCAGTCTGGGTAGCAAACTGTGCAGAGGCCAGGGGGCTGCCTTTCCAACCACGAATTGAATTCTTCTTCCTATTGCACGATCCCACCACCCACAGTGCTGTTAAAGAAAACCTAGCTTTGCGCCCCTTACCTGCTACCACCTGCTGACCACAGAGTTCCATCTCCCACCCAGCGCAGAGCCACCTCCTCTGAGATGGTACGAGAGTGTGGTGAGCAGCCCCTCCCGCTCTCTCTGACTAATGGGGCTCCTGGATGATTAACGAGGACGCTGGCATCTCTAGCGGGCAGGACCCTGGAGGACAAGGTCTTCCCGGAACTTCTGGACATGACACACCCTGGAAGCTGCTGCTATGGGGCGTGCCCAGCATGTGAACGCAGCAAGGCTGGGCCCCCTGCCTATGGGATCTTATCGCTGGAAACAAATGCCATCAGAAGCAGACTCATTGCAAAGGGGTTACTCAAGCCTCTCACTCTCTCAGCTCCTAAATGTCCCATAAAGGCCGAGCAGACCTGGACACTCACACCAGACTACTGAATTCAAGAAAACAACTGACCGAAGAATGCGAAGAAAAAAGGGCAGAGGATGGCAGGGCCCCCCCCACCCCCATTCGGGCACCCTGCTAAGCAGTAGTGAGGACATTTCTTGCAGCCATACCCAGGTGCCCTGCCTTTGACACTGACCATGTGGCCAGTGCCTGCGGAGGCAGGCTCACCCCAGCATGTGTTAAGGGGTCTCCCTGAGAACACAGAGGGTAGGACCAATCGACGCTTCTGATCTATGGCTTAAGACGCACCTGCCATCTCCTGGAGGCCCCCACACGTCCGTCAGACACACACACATTCATGCACAACCAACCATTGGGAGCCACAGACTGATCTCATTGTGTTGCTGCTTGAATAACACACTGTCACACACACAGCTCTGTTGTAGGCAGCCCACATCCTTTCTGGCCTCACTTCCATTGGGAAGAGATACCTGGAACCTTAGCTGAGAGCCCAGGGAAACACTATAAGCAGGACAAGCATGAGGGGACCAGACCTAGACCATGGGGAGATCAGAACATGTTGCTACCATACTTCAACATGGCAGAGAGGGCATGGGGCCCCTCCAACAGGCTGCAGCTGTGTGCTGTATGCCCACCTCTCCTGCCTGTGGATGGCATTTGGCTGGTATGGAAAAGCAGAGAGTGATGTTGAAGATCTCTGCTCAGAGGGATTTGGTCAATGAGGAGACTGGCCACCAGCAGCAAGGGAGCTGGGCCGGAAAGCAGAACTCTCACTTTATTCCCACATTGAGCTGGTCCTGCATCCCTAGAGACGGACCTGCATCTCCTACTGCTCCCATCATGATCTCTAGCAGACTGGATCATCTTTCATGGATGGGATTTCCCAGTATCTATTTTTTCCACTTGCTCTGTTTCAAGTGGTTCAATTTAATCAATTTCGAGGCCCTTGGCAGATAGGATTTTTGATGAACTAGGCACCAGGTCTTCCTTCTCTTGGGGGTCCCCAAAGAGAAGAGATTTGGACCATGGCTGTGCAGGTAAGCAAGCATCAGATAGAAAGCGCTTAAACACAGGTACGTGGTCCTCGTATGAAATGGCAGATGGCAGAGAAGGTCTCACAAAGGAACCTTACTCAGCTTCCAAGGCTTGGCAGGAGCTGGGGCTTTTCCCACCCGAGGGCTCCCAAGGACGGGCTCAGCATCAGTCCTTCGAGGCCAAGCGACACCGGGCCTTTGCCCAGGATGCTGGGCCAAGCCTTCCTGGGAGTCCAGTACATCTCAACCCACTGCACAGGTAGGTACAAAGCAACACTAAGCGCTGCATGGGAACCGATCATGAGGATGGCTGTAAGCAAGCACATTGTGAGGGCTGTCCAGGCACATTAGGAGGGGCAGCACTGCATTAATTCCAAGCGGGGAACTCACGGAAAGCAGAGGGCTCGTACCTGGGATGGCTGTGGGCTGCGCCGAGGTCCTGAACACAAAACGAGCCGCCTTGGACTTCCCCTGCTGGTTCTCAGCCACCACGTAGACCTCATACTCAGCATTCCAGTCCAGGGACTTGAGCATGACGTGGTCACTGCTAGACGGGAGCCTCATCTCTGGTTTCCACTCGGAAGAGAGTTTCTGAGAGACACCGGCAGGAAAGACACAAGACACCAGGCAGGATTAGGTGAGAACACTGGTGAGACTAGCTAACAGAAGAACTTTGGTGTGTCAATGATTGGTGCAAAATCCGATATAATAAAAGGCTAATATGAAAATTGTCCCCTCGACTGGGAGTTCAACCAGGAGTTCAATCAGGGGGTGGGTCCAGCCGGCCAACTGCCCAGGGCCCCTCCCCTTGGATGGCCCCGCCCCCAATCAGCCCCTCCCATCCCAATAGGGCAGCGGTTCTCAACCTGTGGATCGCGATCCCTTTGGGGTCGAACGACCCTTTCACAGGGGTCACCTAAGACCATCGGAAAACACATATATAATTACATATTGTTTTTGTGATCAATCACTATGTTTTAATTATGTTCAATTTGTAACAATGAAAATACATCCTGCATATCAGATATTTACATTACGATTCATAACAGTAGCAAAATTACAGTTACGAAGTAGCAACGAAAATAATTTTATGGTTGGGGGTCACCACAACATGAGGAACTGTATTAAGGGGTTGTGGCATTAGGAAGGTTGAGAACCACTGCAATAGGGGGTGGGGCCTGCTGGCCAACCGCCTGCAGCCGCTCCCCTCCAGCCAGCCGGACCCCACCTGTGCACGAATTTGTGCACAGGGCCTCTAGTAATGAAAATAAAAATCAATGATAGAATGTGGTGTTTATTCTTTACCAGCCTGACAAACCCTAAGGATTACACACGTCAGGGGGTCAACCTTACATGTTTGAAAACACAAACAGTGGTGGCTGCTAGTGGGACATGAGTATCAGGTGTACATTTTACCATTAGGTCCAATCCTGGGCCACTCAGAGTGCCCACAGGAAGGTGCACTCAGCTCAGCAGAGCACTGCACAGGGCAAAATCTGCAGCTGGCGGTAGAGGGTCCCTTTTTCCCCTTGAATGCTCTTTCTAGTTATATCCCTCACCGCACCAATGAGCTTGTTCTGAGTGGGAGTTTATCAAGCCACTGGCAGGTGACCTCCTCCCTGACACAACAAGGAGGTTGGCAGAACTCCTGAAAAGTCTTCAGATGGTTTCACAGTTGCTCAAACAGCCCACCTCTTCACAGTCTTTAGAGAGGTGTAGGCTGGGCTCACAAGAGCGTTTGGCAAATGTTTACTAAGTGACGAGCTGCTCCTCAGAAGAGCAGAACACGCTCTAGTGTCACCTGGGAGGTGGTGTGGCCCACGGCGGAGCTGCAGGGAGACTTATCTTACAGCACAGCCATCTCTCCAGGCAGAAAGACTGGCACCAGCCAAAGACCCGCCTTCAGGAAGGGGCCGTGGCCACCACTATTGTGGGGAAATGCTGGAGGGAGTGCTAGTTTCCTTAGCATCTAACCCGGAAGTGGAGGTGCTGGAAGTTTGCTTGTGCATATGCCACCATATGGTCCCTTTTTAAAAAAATATATTTTATTGACTTTTTACAGAGAGGAAGGGAGAGGGATAGAAAGCCAGAAACATTGACGAGAGAAACATCAATCAGCTGCCTCCAGCACACTCCCTACTGGGGATGTGCCCGCAACCAAGGTACATGCCCCTGACCGGAATCAAACCTGGGACCCTTGAGTCCGCAGGCCGACGCTCTATCCACTGAGCCAAACTGGTCAGGGCATATGGTCCCTTTTTAATTGAAAACAAAGAAATTCAGCTGTCTTTCCCCTTATTTCTCTGAAAATAAGCTTCTTTCATTGGCAAACATTGTTACCAAAGAGACAACCAGTATGTAAAGCAAGTATTTAATAAAGCAATCATGATGTCATATAATACATGTTAATATATATTAATGATATTTAGCAAACACTAAGTTTTCAGAGGATGGTCAAGGTTGTGGAAATCTAACACATCTCAGTGTTTTGCCCCAGCTGTCTTTCCAGCTCAGACCTGCCTGGCACAGCCACAGTGATTCTTCTGGAAAACTGACATCTGAGCAGGCCTCCAAGGGAGGCACTTCCCGCCCCAGCCGGCACCTTAGCAGTAATTACTGTATTTACCAGGCACGGAGGTTTCCAAGTGTCAGTCACACTTCCGGTTTGCATATATTACAACTAATGTTTATAACAACCCGATAAGCTATTTTGTTCCCATTTTACAAAAGAAGAAATGGAAGTTTGGGGAGACTGGATGGTGTATTTGGGTCACATGCTGGACCTGGACTCCATGTGTGTCTGGTCACATCCGTGTAACAACAGCCGGAGGATTCCCCCCCCGCCCCCCCCAGCCCTGTCCACTTCCAGTGCTGCCAGTGCTGCCAGGTGTGTGCCCAGCGCCTGCTTCTCCTCTAGGAGTCTGTGTGGTCTGTGACCTAACCAGGTGAGGGCTCACCTTCCCCTTCGACAGGGCTGATCCAAAGGCAGAAGGAGTAAGTCATCTTCCTGGAAAAAGCCTTTCTTGGGGGCTAGTTGAAGGAAGGCAACTGCTCTGTGGCTCAGTATTTCCTAAGTAAGAAACCCTAGCAACCGACTGTTCCCAGTGCTCTGACACTGCCTCAGCAACTGGCCACGGTTGGCAATGGCCAAGGGTCATTCTTAAACCAAAACAGGAGAGAGATGCTAAATTAGGGGTTGGGGGCGAAAGGTGTAATGATGGAAATCTTAGACGGGTGCTGAGCCAACCAGGAAGGAAAGGCTTAGGGCCACACTCATAGTTAGCAGGATTAGAACAGCTCAGTGGGGTGAAGAGCTGGCGAGGGAGCTCGCCCAGTTTCGTCCATCAGACAGATCTGGGTCTCAACCCTGGCTGGCCCGGCCTTCTGAGGTCAGGCTCTTCCTGACTGCACAGCCCTCACTTCCTCTGCCACACGTGGCGGTCATCGTGAGGCCTATTTCATAGGGTCCTGTGGGGAGAAATTGCATGTACTCACAGCACCTGGCCCGTGAGGTTGCAGTGATTAGATAGCAGTTGCAAAAAGCACAGGGTAATGGCAAAATAACTTTGTACCAAAGTTCAAGAAGCAGGAAAACCAGTCATGGTATGAGTTTCTCACCACCACAGCCATTTTGGAGGTTTTGAAATGGTCCCAGTGTGGACATGAACTAACAGCTGTAGGTCAGTCTTGAGATTTGGAACCCTGATCAGGGCCCAACACACAGAGCGATGGTCCAGCCCGCCCAGTAAGGGGCAAAGCTGGACCTGGAACCCGTGTCTGTCCAGCCACATCAGGCTCTGCCTGTGGTTGCCCCACCAAGGTGTGTGCCAGGGATTCGGGGCAGGGCTGAGCCCTGGGAAGGGGCACTCACCGTGCGGTACTTGACCAGGTAGTGTCTGATGGGGGAGCCGCCGTCGTCCTGCTTGATCAGGTTCACCTTGATGGAGTTGCCATCCTCTCCCATCTGCCCTTCGAGCTTAGGAGCGCTGGGTTCCCCTGAAACAGCCAGTTGGTTCACGTGACATTTTCCTCCACAAAATGAAACCCATCCATCAGGAAGGGATGCACTGATGGGGTGGGGCTGGGCTCTTTTGCTTTCTCAGAAATTCAAATGGTCAAAAAGCAGAAAACATAAGACTTTGGATTCCAGTTAGATGCCTCAGACTTAGCCCAAACTTAGGCCCTTTGGGGATGTTCTGGGCAACTGACTCCCTGGAAGCACAACCCTTCACACTCCTGAGCTGGGCCTTTGCTCCTGTTTCCCCCTGGAACCTGCATTTACTTTTCACTGCTATGCTCTTACAACTGAAAACATAACTTTTATAAACCTGATATTTTGAGAAATGGCCTGAAATATGGAAAAATGAGAGCATTTAAGGAGAAAGCTCACATGCATAAAATATCTTTTCAAAGCAGCCTAGTTTCTTCTCTGGATATCTAAGTAATAACATTAAAAAATAATTTAATTTCCTGGCTGTGATTAAATAAAGCACTATTTGCCAAGGCAAGTTTCTTATGTGTCTTGCATGTATGGCTCAGCTGATTGAGATAATCCTCAACACCTTGTCTTAAAGTAACAATCACGAAGTCCCTGTCTTTGTGAGGAGAGAGAACAATGTGTTTAGCAGTTTTCAGCAGAAAAGGGTCCCTGTGTGTCTTTATTTGCAGCTTGTGCTCAGCGGGCAGCGCTGCATCCAAGGCTGAGAGGGAAGATGTGCTATGTGACAGGCTGCTGGGGTGGTGCTGGGGGGCTCGTCAGTGAACGAGGCACTGATTTACTTTAAGATAAACTATTTCATTAGTAGACTCTGAAAGCAGTGAGGTGAGAAATGTGTGCTATGGAAAGTTAAAATGAAGAATTAGCACACTTGGAAATACTGCACTTCCTGTGTGAGCCACCTCTGAATCGGTTTCAAGGCCTCACAGGGAACGTTTGGGAGAGCCCAGAAAACAGAGACCTTCTGCGTGGGCTGCCTGGGCTTGTGCTCTGGAAGACAGAACCACGGACGTGAGACAAGAGCCAGGAAAGGCTTGTCAATAGGGTTGGGACCTCAGCACCCCAAGTGTACCTTTGGAAACTTGTGAGAAGGCTGCTGGCAAGGCCCGTTCAGCCCACTGTCCTGGGTCAGTTACTCTGGGAACCTCAAAATGGCCCCGTGTCCTGCTCTCCCTTTAAGACAAAGAGGAAGCAGAGAGAAAGCTCAGGAGAGCTCTGGTACCCAGCCTGGGCCAGCGGTGTGCACGTCACCTGGGAGCTCCTTAGAAATGCAGACTCTTATTTTAACAGGATCCACGTAATCGTGTGCACATGTAGGCTTGGGAAGTGCTAGCAAAGGGCACACATAAATGCTGCGACAGTGAAGATGTATATCCTTAATGCTGAGCAACCAAGTATTTGTGCTTGTTATGTGTGTGTTTTTTTCCCCCAGTGATTGAGACAAAAGAAAAACAAAAATAAAAAAGATAAAGGGGCTTCAGGCAAAAACTTGTCCTATTTTTAAGACATTCTGTAGTCACAGGCCCCAATGATTCCGTGGAGAATATTTAGAAGATAATGTCAAGGCATGTATGCTTTTCACGTTCTTTTGGCCCGTTCTAAGCCCTAGTAATCCAGTTAGGTCTTATATCACCATGAATACCCAGTGCTGAGAGGAAACGCCAGGGAGTACAGGTTAGTAGGCCAGCTCCGTGTCACTCACCAGTGCTGAATGGTGGGTGTAGGAGATGCAGGGGAACTTTACAATGCTATTCTCTGGCTGGTTAGGGTGATCAACTCACTCTGGATGGCCTGAGACTTTCCAGGTGTTATCACACCAAGTCTTAGGCTCTAGAGAAACTGTTAGTCCCAGGCAAACCAGGGGCTTGGTGACCTGGCACTGAATGGATATGGACACTAGTCATTACAAGTTTCTGTACCCAGAAACGCGATATGGGCTCTGTGATGAGTGGCCTGTTTGCCTTCAGGAGGAGGGAAGGAGGCAGCATCAGTGGCCCTTCCAACACACCCATTGGGCAGGGACCCAGCCCTTCCCCAGGCACCATGGAAGGGAAGTAGAGATTAAATTATTATTTCCTCTCAGATTTGGGCAGGGTGGGCTCCCAAGGCTGAACCGATACCGCCAAACATGGACCTCTACTTTGGGGATATCTATTTAGATGAGGTGCTTTCTTTGATGTCTGTGAAATCCCTTTAAACTGAATGCTAAGGATGCCACAGGAGAGCCCGAGGGGCTGGTGCCTTGGACGGGTCTCCACATTTGAAAATACAGGCCCTGGACCCGATGCTCTCACTCTGACATCACTGTGACACACCATGGCCACTGCCCCTGATGGACTGTAAGATCACCACAGCTATTTCCATGACACTGTAAAAGACAGAATTTGAAATATAGGATATTCATCCATTTTTAGGAAATGCACCCCCAAATCAATAATTCTATATTTCTACGGCACAGAATGGTCCTTTAAAAATTTTTTAAGTTATCTTAAAAAAGTCTTATCTTTTAAAAGAGAACCTAAGTCTCTTCAAAGACATATGAATGAAAATCTCACCAACGAATCCCTGTATAAACCAACAGCTCTGATGAAGGCACTCTCCTATCCTATATAATAAATGGGTAATATGCAAATCGACCAAATGGCAGAACAACTGGCCACTATGACACACACTGACCACCAAGGGGCAGATGCTCAAAGCAGGAACTGCCCCCTGGTAGTCAGTGCGCTCCCACAGGGGGAGCGCCACTCAGCCACAAGCTGGGCTGACGTCTGGTGAGCGCAGTGGCAGTGGCAGGAGCCTCTCCTGCCTCTGCAGCAGGGCTAAGGATGTCCGACTGACGGCTTAGGCCCGCTCCCTAAGTCGTCAGTCGGCCATTCTTTCAGGGCTCCTGGACTGCTAAAGGGCACAGGCCAGGCTGAAGGGACCCTCCCCCCGCCGGAGTGCAGGAATGTCGTGCACCGGGCCTCTAGTCTTTGTATGTTTCAGAAAAACATCATTGGGATCACAGAGAAACCACTATACTATATCACAGTTAGAACATGGTTGTAACATTTACCAGTTAGAACACTATAACTTGCTATCATTTTATCTCAGTGACAACCATGATACTCTGATATGTGTGTACTACTTTCCCATATAAGTTAGAGCATTTTATATCATATAATATTCAGGTGTGTCACTTAGAGTGCTTTAAATATGAGTTATTCAACAAATGTATAGAATGAGTACCTACTAGGTACCAAGTAAGCTACTGGAGTTTCAAAGGTGAATAAGACAAATGAAATAAACTGAGTTATAATCAATTTAAAAAATGCTGGGGCCTATGTATAAAAACATAAACCTTCCTATGACAGTATTTCTAAAGGAAGTGCATATTCAACTAACATCATAGGGATTCTGACCCACTTTGTGGCTGTGTTACTTATCGTAGGCACATCAAGATGTGGAAAGAGCAGGATTTGTTTAATCAATTGTCTTATGCATCTTCAAATGTTTACTGCCAGTCATTTTTTTAAAGGTTAGGTAAGGAGTAAAGAAACTATTTCCTGAACTCTCTGTGCCAGGGGGTAGGGGAGGCTGGGGAAAGGTCAATGGGGAAAAAAAAGGAGATATATGTACTACTATTTGTAATACTTTAAACAATAAAATAAAATAAAAAAACAAAAACAAAAAAAGAAGTCTCCAGCCAGCCTGGAGAAGGAGGGGAGCTGAGGCTAAAGGAGTGGGCATGGCCTTCAGGAGGCTCCCTGCTTTGGAGAACACATTAGGGGAGGAGAGTATTTAGAGGGTCCCCACGTGCACTCTGATCTGCGGTGGCTGCTCTGATTGACATCATTATGGGTAATTTCAGCAAAACCAATATTGTAATTATTTGTAAATGCTGGTTTGCAGTTCAGCAGCAAGAGGCAGGTTGCTCCAGGAAAACCGTGGGGTTAATTATACCCTCTGAGTTTAGCTTCAGCCGCGAGTCTTATTTCCCCCCAAAATATTTTCTGTAAAGACTAAAACAGCGGTACCTTAAAAATGAACCTTGCCAATAACAAATATGAAATATCAAGCAGTTCTGGTATTTTCTAGAAGAATGTGACTCATGGACGCAAGAAAATAAAAGACTGTACCATAGAGACCACCTATAGTCAGAAATAGTACATGCAGGTCCTACAAATTCCTCTTATAAACGGCAATTTAAATGCGTATTTCTGGCCTTGCAGATTGTAGGTTCTTCTTTGTAATTATTGAGCTACTGTGCCCTGAACCTGGAGTCAGCTTCATCCTTCCCCTCATCAGCAGAAGCTCTGGGGTCAGATCCCTGCTGCTGGGTGTCTGCATTCCACAGCAGCAGTGAGAGCAAGCCCGGGCAGTCAGACAGCATTTGTGAAGTTTAGGAGGAAAACGGTCTACTACTTCTTCCTCAAAAAAGCCCGACACCAGGAGCTGTATCTTCTGAATGAAAGGCTAAGGTGCCAACAGGCACCCTGAGAAAGGCTGGGTCAACCTGGCATCTCCCTTCATCTACTCTGCTCTCTCTCCCCCGGCACTCGCAGGTTTGGACATCGGAGATAAACCCACAGTGGATGTAGGAGCTGTGTTGGAACCTCTCTCTTTGTCTATCAAGTAGGATTGTCTAGCATTAAAATGATTGTTTCTTTTGTTTATCTTAACTCCTGTTCCCACTTGTGTATGCCTTTTCATTGTTTTAAAAAGCCTAACATGCATGATTTAGCTGTTTAAATATGAAGCCTATTTGATTTTTCCGACTCAGGAACATTCACAATGACATCAAGAGGTTAGAAGTTTGACTGGTCCTTAGGGGACCGGCAAATTCCTTAAGGGAATCAGGATTGAGAGCTATTAGAACACTAAGTCTCCCTCCTGAGACCCAACACTTTGCCCTAGATGCCACACAAGCCAACCTAACGTGATCTGTGCTGCATACATTCTTGGACCCTCAAACTGTGCCCAGTGTATGGAGAAAGGATGCTTAGCTCCCTGTGGC